TCAGGATTCTACATCTAGATGCTACATCACATTTCCATATACTTCCAGGAGGTAGGGGAGCATCTGAGTTAAACTGATTATACCCAGAGGCTCTTTGAGGGGGCTGCCACTATTGTCCTTTAATCAATACTTCCAATATACCTGTTCCTGACCTTTCTGAGTCCTCTGAGGAGACTTTTTACTGTCTCGGCTTTAAAGAGGTTTTGGTCCCATAGTTGTATATGGACATCAAAGGCTCATGTTTTAAGTTAATATCAAGATGTAGTTATGACATGCATCCCAGGTAGCTATTGTTTGTTCCGCAAAAAGATTTGTTCCCAGGACCCTATGCACTGCCAACACAGTGTAGACATTAAGAGAGGCACATAAGAAACCATTTTCTTAGAAGCTACAATTACTGGAGTTAAAAGCATAGAATGAACAATAAGACCAAAGAAAATTATACAGAGGTAGCCCACCAGTGAGTTAGCATAAACCTATGAACCTGGGACTTCAGGAGGTCACTTCCCTGGCCCTCAGGGTCCGTGGCTTGCAATTCTGAGGAGGGCCTCTTTGGATTTTCATCCATCTTGTCACAGGGCCTCAGCTTCTCAGTATGCTGTCCCCAGCACTCAATGTTGGGAAATTCCCACTTGAAAGGACGAGCAGACCAGCCTGGAGCAGCTAGAAGAACAGAAAGTACTTCTTGAAAGAAATACCTACAGGAAAAATAAAATACAATAGAGGCAGACTTACTGTTACTACAAGAACAAGCAAGTTGCTTGCCTATGAGACATCAAGGCAGATGGTCCAGTCCCCTCAGTGCAAACCACCTTCCAAGACTAAGACTCAATGGGAATACACACTCTGATTAGTGACCATGTTCGTCACTGATAAGGGGAAGTGAGGGAAAAACAGCAATGAAGTGGTGAGCTAAGCCCTACAACATTCAATAGACTCCTGTGAACCTGGATGGAGACCTGGTTGGCCAGCAGTGTGGCAAGACCTGGGGACTCTTGGCCCAGAGTCAGTGGCATAGCCACAGAGGACTAAAGTGGCAAGTGAAGCTTCCAGTTTATAAGAAGAGAGGGCATATGCACAAGAACACCCACACTTGCAGATAATATCCACTTGATCTGGCTTCAATGACTGGATGATCAGAGCTCAACCAGAAGAAGATAGAAAAGGAAAAAAAAAAGAGAGAGAGAGAGACAGTAATATGATACAATTTGATGAACTTGACCTACACCTATGGATGCAGTAGCTCAAAAGAGGAAATAAATCCTTATAGCAAGGATCATTCCCACCCCCACCACACAGAGTAGACAGGGATGGGCAACTTGGACATTGGCTACCCAAAATGGGTGGGGCTACAAAGGCAAGAAGTGACTGGGTTACTAACTTTCAAGAGGGAACCTAGATCCAGAGGGCATAGAGGAAGGTAGAATCTCCAGTGAGTAGTATCCTATCTGCCTGGGTGGGGCTGATGAAATGAAATGCAGATAGGTCTCTTGTGATACAATAGTGAATAAATGTTATCAGGACTGATTGTGAGGGTTGGAAACGTAAAGGCAGGCCTTTTATAGCAAGGAGGGAGTCATTAACTTTTCAATCTAGGAACGGAGGTCCCTGGAACCATCAATGGAGAAGAGCGGAGAGCGGGACCCTACCCAGAGAAGCAGTGATGCCTGGGATGGAGGCAGAGATGATGATGTGGAGAGATGGAGTAGCTGGGGACTTTAGATCCAGAAAGGGAGAGGGACTGTGTGCTGACGACCGGGGTAGTGTATACCCTTTGGTTGGTTGATAATGCATGGAGGGGATTGTAACCATGGCAATGAGGTGATATGCGATAGGGTGAATGTAAAATGTTCTCCCATATAAACTATCACATAATTCACAATAAAACATTAAAAAAAGAAAGAGAGAGAGACTATCCATTCATTAGGCAGAGGGTAGGGATGAGAGGGAATCCTGGTGTAGTTTTGTAGGATAATTACAGGGCCACAAGGTCAATTGGAAACACAAGGTTCAAACCCACCAGCTGCTCCTCAAAAACCCTATAGAGGGAACTACCTGGCTGGCACCTAACAACAACAATGGATGAGAGGAAAGGAGTTATTGAGAGCAGCTAGAATCTGCTCTGAGGATATGATTCCGAAGTAATTCTCATAGAGGAGACACTAAGTTTTGAGCATCTTTTCTTGAATTTCCTACTTCTGTCCCCTCCCTAACCCACCCATTTCAATGGGCCTTTAGTTTTCAAGAAATGAATATGTGAGCATAGAAAATTTTGGTATCAGTCCGCTTTGATATCCCAAAGCTGATTTACTGACTTCACCTCTGGAACTCCATTCCAAAAAGCAAAACAAAAAACGTTAGGCTTAGTGCAAGGGGCTCCTAGAATCGAGGACCAAGACATTTTGTATCAGCTCTCTTCTCTAATTTGAGAGCTTCTTTTCCTATATCCAGATCCCTCCCCTGCCCATTCTAGTACTTGAAAGAGCCAAGGTTGACAGATGAAGCTCAAGGAGGTAGCGAGAGGTGGAGTTATGCAGAGCTAGATATCACTCCTCCTCTTTAAGTGTAGATAACCTTACACTGCACTCTAGCTGCTTGCTGCTGATTTTGGTATTGGGTACTCGTCAAATTGGAAAGGAAAAGGTAATTGTTAACTAGTGACTGTGCGCTGGTGCCCTTGGGGACTGGAAGAAGAAGGGAAAACTAAAAAGTGATAATTACACCTGCCCTTAATCTGTAGAAGCAGGCATCTTCCCATATATACCAGATGCTGAGGCATCCCCAAGCAAAACTGCCTCCATTGTCTCCTGTTATTGTGTCTGTCATGCTGCTGCGCGTCCCTCTTTCTGTACAGCATGGTACCGCTTGAGACAAGGAAATAAGAATACTTCCTCTGATCCAAGCAGAGCAGGTCAGTAAGAAAGCGAGCATCTTGGGTGTGGATGTGGGTATCAGAAATAAATGTGGGGAACGTGACCTGGCTAAGGGGAGTGGAAAGTGAGAGGGAGGAGATCCATGGGACTAATTGAAGGGCACACAAGGAGAAATTTTAAATGATCCGCTTCTTGTTATTTTGATTTCCACAGCGAAGGCGGCTTCTAGAATGAAAATATTGGCGCTCTTTAGCGTGGTGGTGGTGGTGGTGGTATGTGCCGTGGAGTCGGTTCCAACTCATAGGGACTTTGTACCGGGTTTCCGAGGCTGTAAATCTTTATGGGAGCAGAAAGCCGCAGAAAGTCTCATCTTTCTCCCGCGGAACAGCCGGTAGTTTCGAACTGCTGACCATAAGTTTGCAGTCCAACTCGTAATCACTATGCTACCAGAGCGTGTTGTTGTTGTTGTGAAGTGCCGTCAAGTCGATTCTGACCCATAACGACCCTGTATAGGGTTTCCGAGGAGCCGATGGTGAGCTTGAACTGCCGACCTTGCAGTTCAAACGGCTTTGCGGTATGGCGTATTAACCCACAGCACCACACATTGGGTTGCTAACATCAAAGTCAGCAGTTCGAAACTACCAGCTAGTCCGCGGAAGAAAGATGAGGCGTTCTTCTCCCGTAAAGATTTACAGCCTCGAAAACTCTGTACAGGGTCGCTATGAGTTGGAACCGACTCCATCGGGTTGCAGGTATTGGTTAGGACAGTTTGTCTGGGAAGCTCTGGCATGAAAAGGTGATAAACGAGGCTGTAAATTTTTAATAAATCCCTGTACTCGAAAAGGATCTCATGTCCTAGTTACTTACCTGTCTGATCATTTACAACTAAATCTTTCCCACCGTCTTTTCTGTTGGTTTTTCAGTGTGTCTCCACGCATTTATATGTGTATTTCTGTAAAGATCTGTAGGGGGCAGCAGACCCCAAAGGGTGGGGAGAAGGAAAAAATTGTCTAGGTTTCTATAGGATGGGAAGTGCTTGGGGACCTCTTGAGATGGAGAAGGTAGTGGGATGTGACTAGAGCAGGTATCAGTCTGGGGAAATGACCAAATATCCAGCTTTCCAGTATCTGTCCCATTTCCTGCACTGTGCTGCAGAGAAAGGCAGATTTGGGTGATGGAAAGGAAACATAGGAACCTAGATGAAATTTGGGGATAGTGCTTTTCATGTTTTTTTCCTGACTACTTCCTAAGCTTGCTTGTGCATTCTATCTGTACAAACACCACCTGGACCTTGCAGAGAAAGGAATGTTTGAGTGTGTGTATGCAAGGAAGTTGTCAAACTTTAAGAGTGAAGCAGGGTGGCTTGGGTATTTGGCATTGTGGGGAGAGAAAAGGAGGTAGTAAATGATAGATTGGTACTTTTATCCAGAGAGATTCTGTGTCTTCGGTTCCACTCTCTCTTTACCAGGGACTCAATGTAGTCTATGTCTCCAGCTGTGTATCCCTGTGTTTGTATATATCTGTCAGTAGGTCTTTTCTTAGGTCTTTGGAACTCTAAGTTGTTGTGAAGGTTTATAAATGGCAAAACAACTTATAACTAGGAAATAATGAAGAAAAGAAAATTATCCTATATCTGTTAAAGTTGGTGCGAGGATAAAGGTAGAATAGATGGTGGATAGTGTTGTTGTTAAGTGCCTTTGAGTCGGTTCCAACTCATAGCAATCCTGTATAGGGTTTCTGAGGAGTGTCTGATGGGTTTGAACCACCATCTTACTGTTCAAATCAATCTTGCAGTACAGTGCTTACACTACAGTGCCACACTGGAAAATTCTATCTCTTCCATTTTACCAGCTTTCTGTGTCTGTCTTCCTGCTGATTTAGATGGGAATTTTGGTAAGCTTCAGGACATAGAATGCTAAGAACTGCCTTCCCGACTCTTCTTTTGATTTGCCTGTTCTCATGCTTCATCTGAGACCAGTTCTGAGCCAGAGAAGTGCCAGGGCATTCTCTGGTGGAAGCAGGAGGAGCAGTTCTGAAGCAGGTCAATGGGAGGCAGAAGCCAGGAGAGAAACTGCATGTGGGAAGACAAAGTCTGTTTACCCTTTTCTCCTCTTGGTTTGTCCACAGATCTGCCTGTAGGTCTACTGAACAGCTTGCCACCATTGGAAGCAAGGAAAGGAAGACAAAATCATTCAAGATCATTACAAGCAAGTAAGAATTTGAAGGTGGCCTGGGTAGATATGTAGTATAGGGTAGTAGAAATCTTATTAGTAGAAATCAAGATACAATATAGAGATTCCTCAGCTTCTCTCATTCCTATCGCGTTCCCCAATATTCCTATTTCTGTTTGGTGCCCAGAATGGAGTTTGGTAGTACCTGAAAGCATAGGGAGCCAGTGAAATGATAGCTAAGAGAGAGAGTTTGCTAATTATCTACCTTTCCCACCTAGGTCTGCCTTCAGTGACTGATCTAGTGGCTTTGAAGTGACTGAAGACCACCACCCTCTACAAGACTGCACCCAGGCACAAGCAATCCTTTCCTAACTGAATGATGTTCCTCTGCACATTGTCTATATCATTAGAAGAGCCTATGGTTGGAAAAGGGACTGAATGACTACTGAACTTTGTATGAAAACACCAACCTTGGACAGATCTTTCGTAAAGGTTAAGACTAAGGTAGGGTTACATAAGTTGGCTGTGTCTTTACTTGAACCATAACTGGTTCCAGGGCCAGGGCAAGAGCTAGAGGACAACTTGGTACTGTCCTGGATGCTGGATTCAAGGGCCCTTCCAAAGTCAGGGGGACAAGTAAGACCCAGACCAAGGCAGTGGCTGCAGCAAAACCCAAAATAGGATCAGTGACTCAGACTAAGGCTGAGGATGGAACAGTAGCCAAGACACTGAACACAACTCACACTGAGGCATTTGCTGTGACAAGGGAAGTAGAAGTGAGCAAGATGAAAGCTATGACTAAAATAAAACTCATGGCTGAGACTAATGCAAAAATGGTGACAGAGTCTACAGTAGTACCCCAAACCAAGTCAAAGGCCATGCCTGGGTCCAAGGCTAGTGTCATGACCCAGTTTGAAGTTAAGTTGGGTGCTGACAATAAGGTCAATATTAGGCCATGCACAAAAGCTAACAATATGGCCAGTATTAAGTCTAGACCCCAGACAAAAGACGAGACCAGCATCAAGTCCAGGGCTGGTAACAAAGCTAATATTGAGGTCAAGTCCAATAATGAGGATGAAGAAAATGTCTGTTCCTGGTTTTGGACTGGAGAAGAGCCTAGTGTAGGATCCTGGTTCTGGTCTGAAGAAGAGACCCCCTCCTCATGTTTATAAGCCCCCACCAGAGAATGAAGAAAAGCCCAAGTCCACTCTCAAAGCTGAACTTAGTATAAAGGAAAAAGTGGCAGCATGGTCAAGGGCCAGGTGCAGTGTTCTAGTCCCAATTGAAGTAGAGGAGCAATCCTTGACTCCAGAAAGGAATTGGACTCTAGTTGAGACCTTGATTGAAACTCCTCTGGGTATTCAGCCTCTAACTAAGATCTCAGCCTGTGGTGGACCTTACTTCCAGACCTTAGCAGAGATTAAAAAACAGATTAGGTTTAGGGAAAAGTATAGGCCCCATCCAAGAGTCTGCTGCTGCAAACCACGTGGCCTTAGTTTAGCGCCGAAAGAGTTCAATAAACTCATTACACTACTTAATTTAACTAAGGATCCTTTCATTCATGAAATAGCTACAATGGTAATAGGTGTCAGTTCTGCTTATCCATTTACCCAAGACATAATTTATGATGTAGGTATTACTGTTATGCTTGAAAACTTTATCAATAATCCCCATGTTAAAGAACACCCTAGAGCTCTAAATTTGGTGACTGACAGCTCTGAGTCTTCTGAAGAATCAAAAAGTGAAGAGTCATGTACAAGTGAAGTTTGTAAGGACACATTCACTTATCCCTTGAACTCCCCTGTGCAACTCTCTGAGCACCTGAGTGTGAAATTTGAGAATCATTACATGATCATCAGTTACATTCCAGATTTCCTTACCTTGTTAAACAAAGGAAGTGTTAAAACCAAGTTTTTTGTTTTAAAAGTGTTTTCGTACTTGGCTAAAAATCAAGCCAATACAAGAAAACTGATCAGTGCTGAAGTGCTGTCATCATTACTTGCTGCCTTTAATAAGAATGAGCCAAAGGCCAATATTCTTGTTATCATTGGGATATTTGAGAATATAAATGTCCAATTGAAAAGAAGGGTAAAGCTATTTACTAAAGAACAGTTCACTAAATATGAACTTATTTCCATATTTCAGGAAACAAAAGAGTTTGGTCAGAAACTCCAAGACTTAGCAGATCATAATGATCCTGAAGTGAGAGATAAAATTATACGATTAATATTCAAACTCTGAATCGCTATATAGTCTCATAAACTCTTGAACAATTTTTTGGCTTTGTAATTTGAAACCAATGGTCATAAAAATTGTAAATTCAATTATTTTGTTACCTGTGTTGATAGACAGGGTCAATTGTAAGGATACCAATGATCTTGAGAGAATGAATATCTGGTGATTTTATTGTGCTATATAAAGTGAGATTTTTTTTTTTTTTTAGTAGTGTACAACATAATCTGATAATGAACCCATTTGTCCTGTGATTTATATTGACATAAGTGTATTCATTTGACATAAGTATATTCATAACTTCATTTACACAGTTAATAAAGTTGAGTGCTAAAACTGGTGAAAACATTGTCAATTTTTTTAGTTGAGAGTCTAGTCACAGGGAAATGGCACAAACAACACATTGATGATTAATAGCTTTGTCTGTGTCTGTACAGGGTTACAAACAAAACTTAATGCTGACAGATTCTTTAGCTTTGACATGTTCAAAGAGTAGAATCACTTGGCATGCAAAAAGACAGAACCATACTACCAGTTGACTGCAGGTCCCAGTTGACAAGCTCCAAGTGAGGAATGAACACTGGCAACTCTGGGGAAAGGGATGAAGTTTCAGACTCTGGAGGAAGGGGACACAAATACCTTAATTCCAGTTTGGGTTTCAAAGTTTGGGCACAGACTTTAACATAGGACTATTCATCTGGATATTTTGATGTTTCTTAACCCTCATGAGGATTCCTGTTTTTCACCCCCATGCCGAAATGCTATGGACAACTGACCAGGATGTTTTGTTCTAATGGGACTCAGCCCCACTTTACTTTCAATAACCCTTCCCTATCCAGGCATACCAGGTTTGCTGCTTCATCTGAGACTTCCTTCCGCTACAGTCATAGGCCTCAGAAGAGTGTGTTTCTGGATACCGCCTACAGAAGCGGTCTCATGGCTAGTCTCATCTCATCTACTTTGGGGACTGTTTACTCTTATCCTTGCATTTGTTTGCTAGCCAATGTTTTATGGATTTGGTAAGAACCTATAATTGGTGGCAGCCCCTTGCTTGTGCTGATATCTTTGGGTCACATTTCAACCTTATCACACAGTCATATGATACCAACATACTTAAAAAATATATTTTTTAAAGTGTTGCTGTTGTTTTGTGCTGTTGAGTCTGTTCTGACTCATAAAAAGCCCTGTATATGGCTTCGGAGGAGAGGTTGGTGGGCTTGAACTGCGGACTTTATAGTTAGCTATCCAGTGCTTATCCTACAGCACCACACAAGTTAGAAATAAGTTAGTTCTCCTAACCCCACTAAACTAGCTATTTATTTGCACAGTTTACAGCTTTGAAGCCTGGTTGTCTCTTATTCCTCAGCTCCTACTGTTTACACTTATCAAAAGCTAGGTTCTGGCTGGAGATTTGATATGGAATGGGATACACAGATTGGGATCTTGAGGGCACCTCTGACTTGCATTCCCCATGTCTCCTTTGTTGTTATTATTCACTTGCCTTCACTACCCAGAATTGGTAAATACAGGTATTAGGATGAATATATAGTGCTGGTCTTTCTAATGATATCAAACTGCCCCCTAATTTTCTACGCATGTGAGGAAACACTTGAACTAAAAACCTCAGTATGATGCCATGTACCCATAGTTTTTGCACTCAAACCTGACTTAATGTCTATTAATGTCAAGGACCGGCCTCGACAGGGGAGTTTGGTTCACGAAGTTGGGAGATCTGGCGGTGACAGAGATAGAGAAAGAATACACACAAAGACACAACAAGAGAGACAAGAAGACACCCCGAAACCAGAGTGGATGAGACACTGGCGGGCAGACCCTGGACTACCAGCATTGTGGCCCCTGCAGGCAGTAAAGCACCACCCTGCAAACCTTAACGCATGCCTTGCCAGCTGTAACGCCTCGCATGCCAGCCGTAAAACACGTGGGCTTCGGTCTGTGCCCCGGTTTTATTTCAGGGAGGAGCTTTACACAGAGGAAGGCGGGGTTTATTAAGACGGGGTATAGAAGTGAAATGTGATTAATCGTTCAACACAGGACACAATGATTTACAGGAATCAAATTCTAGAACATACATCACAAATTGTCTTGATAATCTAACATCCTTAATTTTCCTGAAATTCAAGCAAATTATTATATGGTACTTTTCAGGTTCGAATCCCAGGGCAGCAGCTCGGTTTCTCCAGGCTAATTAACATACCTATAGCACCTAATCTTGAATGGGGGAAGGTGAAAAGGATTGGGAGGAGTCCCGCTGTGTCGGCTGCCTGGGCCAGGTTTGCAGGATGAAACGAGACGAGACGCCTAGGTCAATGGGCTGCACCTGGGAGCGATTTAAGACGGCAGTCCTTTTGTTCTTTGAACAAAACCTTGGAAGTCGCCCATCTATTTTGAGTTAATTCCTTGGGCAACCTGGCTCCAACAAACTTGCCTTTGGAACTTTTTACAGCCTCAGCTTTAGGAGAAGTTTTAATATTTGTCCATGTTTATCAAGGGCTCATGTATTAAGTTAATATCAAACATAACTAAATAATTTGATAAAGAACAGTTTGGATGAGTGTGCCCAGTGGCCAGAGTCTGTTCCTCAGAGAGATTTGTTCCCAGAACACCTTAAGCACTGCCAATACAGTGGAGACATTGAGAGAGGCACATTAGGAAACCATTTTCTCAGAGGCTACAGTTACAGGGGTTCGAAACATAGCAGGAATTAATAGGACTAAAGAGAATTATACAGAGCTAGCCCCACAGTGAGTTCGTAAAAGCCAATGAACCCGGGACTTCCGGAGGTTACTTCCTTGAGCCCACAGGGTCTCTGGCCAGCAAGTCGGAGTGCAGCCATGTGCTGGATTTTCGTCCATGACACTGGTCCTCAACACCCCAATACCTGCAGTCTGCAACATATTAAGACCAAGTCTGAACCTATCTTTCATACATCTTAGTAGTTAAAATAAAGGGCATCAGCTACAATTGCACAATCCTTTTGTTTTTTCCTTAACTTTTTATTGTAATCTGTGTGAAAGTTTACAGACCAAATTGGTTTTCCATTCAACAATTCATACACATTTTGTTTTATGATGTTGATTGAAACCCATACAATGTAACAGTATTTTCCCCATGTCCTATAACTCATCCCTCTATTTATCTTAATATGGTTAAGTTTTCTTAACTTTGTCTCCTCTACTATATTCATGGGTATATTTACAACACATACCCATATCTAGAAATATCCTCTGTCAAATGTATGTAAAAAGAGGCTTCTAATCATTTATGGAAAAATAGAATTAAGAGATAATGTAATCTTTTTGATGAATTTTTTGAAGCCCCCTTATATACTCAAGAGTCTTTCAAATTGAATTGAGTCTTTCAAATTGAAATATGGTCTTTCAAATTGAAAATCTCTCCTGCCCCATTTCTTGTATCTGGGAAACATTATCAAGAAACTACTGAATTAAAAGTGAAGACATGGCACTTGCATTTGAAAAATGAATTAACTTGACAAGGCAAGTGAAAGTTAAGTGCCAAATAGTAGTATAGATGAAACTTTTGGAAGGCAAAAGGACAGTGAGTGAGTACACATTTAGAGGGATAAGGACAGATTTAGGTGTGGCAATCCATAGAGTAGTTACTCCCTAAACATCTGCTATTCATAGAGTTTTCAGTGACTAGAGATTCGGAAGTAGTTCGTCACTCTTTCTTCCTAGTCTGTCTTTGTCTGGAAGCTCATCTGAAACCTGTCCACCATGGGTTACCTTGCTGGTTATTTATAATACTAGTGGCATAGCCCTCAAAATCACAGCAACTCAAGCCACCACAGCATGACAGACAGACGAGTGGTGTTGGAGGAGAATACTAAAAGTGCCATGGACTGCCAAAGGAACCAATACATCTGTTTTGGAAGAAGTGCAGCCAGCATGCTTCTTGGAGGCCAAGATGGCTAAACTTCGTCTCTCATACTTTGGACATATTGTCAGGAGGGAATAGTCACTGGAAAAAGATATCATGCTTGGTAAGATGGAGGGTCAGAGAAAAAGCAGAAGCCCCCCACTAGATGGATCGGCCAGGTGGCATCATTGATGGACTCAAGTGTGGCAGTGGTAGTGAGGTTGGCCCAGGATCAGACATTGTTTCATTCTGCTGTGCATGGTGTCACTATGAGTCGGTTCCGACTCGATGGCACCTGACAACAACAATAACAACAAACATCAGCTGGTTGACTGGATAAATGCATGCATTGATTTTATGGTCTAATTTGGAAAGGCTTCATAGAAGTTGTAAGGTTTGTGTTGATCTTAAGAAGTAGATTAGTGATTTGGACAGGTGGAAAGGGCAAGGAGGAAACCCCAGTTCCAGGTAAGGACAATGATAAGATCACCAGTGTGATGATATTTATAACTTTCAGAAGAAAAGAATGCTGCCAGCTGAGAACTCTTTTCTCTCCAACTCTTTCTTTTGTCCCAAATTGGCAGAAATCTATTGAATAAAGTGAAGTTGAAAATTAGCAACCATCGGTTATACTTGCTATGGTCATGGACATGCAATATTCGGGTAAAATATTCTGTAGGAAAACAAACACATTTACTATCTAAACTGTTTAACAGTTATGACTGTTTCATAGCTGTGTTCACATAGGGCATTGAATCTATAAAGAGAAAGGTGGCATCAACTGGGAATCTTGGATTGTTTTGGTGGCCTTCAGGCGATGTCATGAGCCAAGGTGTGCAGGAGAGAATACATAGTAGTGAAAAAAGAGAGAAGGATTCCAGGAACGATTCAGAACAGCTTCAAGGCAAATTTCATTATTATTGCTCTACTTTAAATTCATTTTATTTATTTTATTTTTGATGCTTTGTTCAGAGAGTTTAAAAGAACTTTCTCTAAATGTAAAATTTCTTAAGAAAGCATTTTTTTTTTTTAAATCCCGGATTCCTTTTTTTTTTCCCAAAATAATCTTTGAATTGAATTATAGAGCAAAGAAGTCTAGCAGATATTTTGCT